GTTTGGGTTGCGGCATTAGGTGAAAGGGGGAAACTCGGAAAGTTAACATAAGTCGAGGAGAATGTGGGGTGGGAGGAGTGGGACAACTAGGGAACTAGAAGGGAGGGGGGGGGGGGGGTACCATCCATCGAGGTAGGAGCTTGGCCGTTGTTTCTAGTGACGCTACATGGGGATGAGTTGAAGAGCAAGCAAGTTAAGGGAGAGTGATTGGGTGAATGGGTTGGGACAGAGGGGAGGGGAGGAGTGAATGGGATGGGGATCAGGGGAAGAGAGGAAAGGGGGAAGGGAGCAGAGATGGGGTGAGAGAGGGAGATGGGTGTAGGCGGCGGAGAGGGAGGGGAAGAGTTGGAAGGGGAAATAGGGGGGTGCATGGGTATGAGCGGACATGGCTGGAACTGGAGGGGCATGCAATGGTGGGAGGCGAAGGGTGTGAGAATGAACTGGGGAGGGTAGAGAGAAGGGCAGTGAGAGAGAAGGGGAAGATAAGGAGGGGCTCGAGGAGCCGTTCTCAATAAAAGGGGATGAATGATGAGGATTGCCAGGTGTTATAGAGGTATGGTGGGAGCGAGGAGAGGATAACTGCTGCGCAGTGGTTGTCCTCAGGCTGGGGGCCTGAGAGAGAGGTGGGGAGGATGTGAGGAAGGAACATGCTGCGAGGAGGAACACGTGGCGGATAGGGGGGATGGAGTGTGGAGGGGAGTTAATGTGAGAGGGAACATGAGTGGGTGGCGACGCATGCGAAGAGGTGTGCTGGATGTGTATGGAGGAGCCTCTAGTATTAATGGGGGCAATTGATGACTGACTTGGCTTGTCGTGCAAGGACGGCACGACGACCGACAATTAAAAAGAGATAGTTTAGAGTTCGAGGATGACGAGGAAAGGATGACACATTGGACGACCTAGGCTCCAGTGCCATAATGGGGGAGGGGGCGGCGGGGATTCTAAGGAAGATCATTTGGGATGGGAGCAGAGAAGGGTTGGGAGAGAGGATGGTCTAGGGTGCCTTGAGGGTAGGGACCAAAAACAGGTTGAGGGGAAGTATAATCCGGGGTACATTGTGGACCACCAGACCTAGGAGGCTTAGGAACATGTTTAGAATTCTTCCAATGTACTGTGGTCCAGCCTTTGTGGTTTGGACTGGGTCGGTCATGGCAATTAGAGCCCTGAATGGAAACCTTATGTGGTATGAAAATTCGTTACAGTGGAGGTGGAGGAGTTTGGGGATGTTGTCGATGGACACTGAGGCGATCAATAAGATGATGTTCCTTAAAGGGAGGGTGCCAAATGATTTCCAGTACACCAAAACGAATTCACCGCTGCTATCACCAATTGTTTTGAAGGCATACTGGTACCAGAGGTGTAGAGGAACTCCTATCAAGATCCAGATGCGTCCATTTGCTCATTCTAATGCTTCAAGAATAATAGTCCTCCTTGAAATATTAGGTTTGAATTGGGGACATCTAGAGGACAAGAAGTGAGGTCTTAGAGAGATGAGATACTTGCGGTAGTGAAAAAGCTTACAAGTGAGTTGAGGGGTCTTGAGAACTTGTTGAAGCCATTTGTTAATGCCCTTAACGTCATTATGCTGGGGGGAAACCAATGTAAGAGATTCTAAAGGAAGAGAGACGTTCTTCAATCGTTGGAGAACTGAAAAGCCAGACATGGAGAGTGGAGTTAACAAAAGAGACATGGTATTAGGTTTTTGACTTTGCGGGAGTAAGGGAAGGTTCTGTTGGAGGGGGGGGGGGGAGGCTAGTGGAGGCTAAGAGGTGCTATCTATGCGTAAGTTTTTGGGTGGCAGAGGGTAGAGAAGGGTTGAAAGAGGTTGAAGGGGGGGGCATGTGGGTGAAGGATGGAGGTGGGAAGTTTATCCAGGGGGTGAATGAATTGTCTATTATGCCTGTAAAGGGGTGGCGAAGGAACTGTTGTTTCCTTAGACTTCATGGCTTTATGGTGAGAATGTATTGGAATGTCGGATATGAAGGCAGTGGCTCTCTATCATTCTTAGGGTGTAAATTCAAAACAGTTTTCTCCTTTTCTTTTATTAACAACCCGGGTAATTGTACTTACAATGCCAAAATTCATAGCAGAAGTAGAAAATAAATCCTACTACAATATATGTATCTTAACTCTTACTGCCTTTAAGAAAATAAACTTAATTTCATAGAATGAATTCTATTGCAACGTGATATCTAGATCAAATGAGAATCCCAGTTCGGAATCCTAGTTCAAACAAGAACCATAACTCAAAAGAGAAATTCTAATATGAATTAGAATCATGAATATTCAACTAAAAATAAATTAGGTAATAAAGTTGGCAAAGACTTACATGAATTTTGTCTACGGTCACCCTTGTAGGACTTAGCACACCGGATACCCTAATTACCAAACCGATGACGCACTAATCCTTGGCCCTGTGCACTAATCCTTGGCCCTGCTTGAGTCCTCCAAATTTGGAAGGCATCTATGGCAATACCCTCTCACGTAACTGGCGCGCTGAGAGCATGAAATCGAAACAACCGAGTATTTTTTCAACCCAAAACACGTGTATCCTTTCAACCCAAAACTAGGGCATGCCACAATGTAGCACCATCCTCGAACCACAAGACCAAACTAGGCTGGGCGTATGCTCCTCTTAGGCTAGCCTGGGTGGTATGCCAGCCTCTATGGCCTTGCCTCACTAGGGGTGTGCATAAACCTTAAGGGAGAGAGAGGGGACTAGAGAGAGATTTAGAGAGAGAAAAATGTGGAGAGAGGGAGAAGGGGGGAGAGATAGAGGGAGAGGTCTTTGTTTGAATATTTAATCGGAATGAAGGGGGTTTGCCCATTTATATAGGCCTTCATGGCCTACAAAATTCCATCTTCCAATAGGAAAGAAATTTGACCATGATTAATCTTAGGTAATTTTGACGTGAAGAGAGAATTAAATATGAGCCATCCATTTCTTAGATCAACCATTATGGTTAGGCAGGAACCCTAGAACCGTTATTCCTCTGGTCCTTGAGCCACATCCACTTCTATTCAAACATGGATTAGATATTTCATAATCCCATTAAATGTGGACTTTTATTTCACATAGAAATAAATTCCCATTATTTTAGAAATCTAAAGTCAAAGAGAGATCTATTCCACAGTCAAAATATATTTTCTAAATTTCTCATAAAGGTTTCCTTAACTAACTCTCATCAAAATAGGAGCCTTATGGGGCGTCATTTTAAATGTGAGGCATAAAAATGGCCCTTGTGGGCCCCACGTCCCACCCCATGTAGGCTCCTCACTTGTGGGGATTGGGCCCTTGGCTCCCCCATGTGGGTCCCACTCCAAAAACCTTGCCCTAAAGAGACAAGAAATTTCGTTTTTAGGGTTTTTAATGAACAATTTTTTAAATTTGAAAAAATTTAAAATCATAGCAGCATAAGTAAAGTTGGAAGACAATATTTCTGCGTTTCCAAAAAATTCCAAAACAGATTTAAAACAAATCTAGAATTGGATTGGTACTAATGGATCATGAAAAGTAACATATCCAGGGCACTCCACCTATGCTAAAATTCATGATCCATAACTGTCCTCTTAAACTAATGCAACATGAAGAATGACCCACAGTCAATCACAAGGGCGGGCTCATGATTGGCCCGTCAAAGCTATCCAATAAATGGCGGAACCATGGATCTAGTGTATGGATTTTAGGTTCCTCCCTTAAGAGCAAGTCATATCCATTATCCATAAGGATTCACATGCACATCACTATAGTGCAAGGGGACACTCTCATACACATTCACGGTTCCCTCTTATACGGGTGCTTCCCAGAATGCGGCTGTCATGTGTACATGCTGTGCAGTAGTTGTTGAGGATTTGTCCCTTGCCTTCATAGGCCCGCAGCTTTACACGGGAATCTTGGCGGGTTCCGGGCTCTTGTCATAATCCCTTGGCATCTCTTCGACCTCAACAAGGGATGACCCACTGAAAACCTCCGTGATGGTGCTTATGTCCAGGGAGTGTTTTGGACATGACCTTGGGCCATGGACCGCCAACCTCAAGGTCAGTCAACCATCACCCCTACTAGAGTGTGAACATCCACTATAAAATGTTTTTCTCTCAGGGCCTTTAAAGGCCACAAACCCCAACATGATTCTCCTTGTATAATTTGAAATAGTCTAGCATATGGGGCAACTCTGCCCTCCATACTTTTGCCTCCGTATGCCTGTAAGTGATCCTTGACAGCGCACTTTGGTTTTTCTAAGGAGGATGTCATTGACTTTAATGTTTTCACTTATATATCATTTGTGGTTTAGGGATACATTATAACTACAGTTCTTATTTTTTATTTTTATTCTCTCTTTATCTACCTTGCATTAAAGTTTTGAGAGTTCTTAATGAGCTCTGATTCTTTGATGCCATTTTGTTCAATCTTGTTTTTTGACAAGTCATTCATTTTCCTTCCCAAAAGTTTAGAAACTCTTGTTTTTTAAGGCGCATATGATTTCTTGACCAATGCTGCATTTTTTATCTTTACCGGAGGTAAGGCAGGACAAACAAAAACTTGCTTCACACGCCATTTGTACTGGTTTAACAGTTGGATTCTATGACCTGATATTTGGTGGTAATATTATTATGTTTTTGCTGGAAAAGATGCTCACTGTATTTGTGCAATTTTGGTAACTTTTTCTTTTTAGTTACTGAGTTACTGCCTTGACATCTCTTTACCTTTATTTCTTTATTTTACTTGTGCTTCTTTTTCATTTAATAAAATTTTCTCGCCTGGCACAAGAAAGGATGTGCTTGATTTTCATTCATGAATATTTGGGTTATATTACTTTTTCTGTCTCATTATCTGATTACATCTATTAAAACCCAATTTTTGATATTTAACTTAGAAGCTGATTGCTTTTTCCAAAACTTCTGGGTATTTCGTGTTTTATTGGTGATGGTTTAGGTTTGTTTTAATTGCTAAGATTGTCTCTTTTCTTTTGTTGCTAAGAAGTCACTAGACGTATTTGCAGGTTGGAAGGCGAATCCTGTTGAATTTGACTCAGTTTTTAACCGAAGCCACCATTCATTTGCTTTTGGGAGTCCAGATATTGTTCCTATCTTCTGCAGTGCCTTACCTCACAGCAGCTGGAGGGTCTATCCACATGAATTTGAAGACTTTGCAACTGGTTTGTGGACCCAAGAAGTTTGAAATGTGATTCAGTTATGTTGTCATTCTTTTTGTGGGGTTTGGTTGGGCATTTCGTGCTAATTCCATGTAAAGTAGTATCCTGAATCCACTTTACTTTTTGAATCAATATATTGTATCTTTTGGGTATTTCTGAAAAGTAGAATTATTTTACAAAACATCTAAATACTTTATTTGGATTAGATCTATTAAACATCATGTGTGTGCTTAGATACACAACCAGATACCATGGTACTCTCTCTCCTCCCCCCCCCCCACCCCTCCTCACAGTATTTCATTTAGAGGAAAAATGTGTTGCTTTATATATACGTCTGCTTCAATGCATGTGCTGAAACATGATGTCCTTCAAACTGAATGATAGGCTTTCTTTAGCTTCCTTTAGAAACTTGGGCGTAAGACTTAGGACTCACCTGAGTTGGCTTGGTAGGGGTGCTGGTCGAGTTTCATAGTACATGGCTGCGGATATAAATTTTCTAGTTCTTTTACTTTTTTGCTTTTGAACTTGGTCTGTTACCTACTTTTTATTGAGAAATGCTGATCATTCTCCTCATATCTGTGTCTAATATCTGGCCTATGTCTACACTTTCTAATGATAGGAGGCAACTAGTTGAGGACTTGTAGTTCGAGAGAGGATTCTCTTGGATTTATTATATCTTTTATGTATTCCATTTTTTAATTAGCTTGCTGACATGTCCATGGTGTTCGACCAGATAATGTTATAAGTACTTGATTCTTGCTTATGACCATTCATATTGTTATGGATATATCTACTTATATATATGCTTTGTACCACTGTCTGTGCCTGTGGGCAATGTTTTGTCTTTTCCTCTCTCAAAGATTGCCTATAAACATTTGGACTGTGTATTCAAACAATAAACAATTATTTATGCCTATAAGTGGTGTGACTTAACTTTTTGTTTTTATTATGTTGGTAAGCAAATGATATCCTATTTAATATAAAATTGAGGGCTGCAACTCAGAGCTTCACAGTGAAAGAAATTGAGACGGGAAAGGAGAAAAGGAAGATAAAAAAAGTACACAGAAGTTGGGTTTTAGAGACTTCTCTGCCCGAAGTAGCCCTTGCATGTCTGAGGACATCCCAGTAACTAATGAAAGGATCTGCATAAGTGAGTCACCGTGGCTGCATCTCCTCCTCTGTTGATATCTAGCAGCGCTTTTGTTCCAGTTAAATAACGTGCACCCATCCATGAGAAATATGGTTGGTATGGCTTTGAACTGATGCACACAGTTCAGCCAATGATAGCTTCCAGTTTCCCAAGGGAAAGATGCACAGGAATTCGTCTTGGCTATGCTGAATTTTGACACAGTTTTTCAGGTGGATTCTAGTGCATCTGATGTTGGGATTGGGCCTGTTTTAAGTCAAGATAATAGACCCTATTGCTTTCTTCAGTAAGAAGTTAAGTGATTCTAAGTCATGATATTTGACATATGATTTCGATTTCTATGCAATAGTGCAGGCACTTAGGCAATACAAGCACTATTTGATTCCGCGGGAGTTTGTATTGTATTCTGATGAGCCCTTGAGGTCCTTGAGTCCTTTGAAAAGTTTGAATAGAAGGCATGCCAAATGGGAATACACTTTTGTGATCGAGCATAGGCTGGAAGCCAGAAATCGAGTAACAAGTGCATTGAGCAGGAGATTCACGGTGTTGAGTGTTTTGTTGACATCAATTGTGGGCTTTGAAATAGTCCTGCAACAATATGCCACTGACCCATGTTTTACTGAAATTGTTGAACGGTAACAGCCGGAAGACCCTGAAGCAATTAAGCATTATTAGGGTGGTTTTCTTTTTAGGGGAAATCGCTTCTACATACCAGATAGTTCCTAGAGGTCGAACGTAGTCTCTGAATTTCATGGAGTTAGAGGTCACTTTTGCTGAGACCATACTTTAGCTTTGGTTGAGGACATCTATTTTTGGCTGCAACAAGAAGAGAGATTTTGCGAGATATGTGGACAGACGCCATATATACCAGCTCGCAAAAGGACTCAGAACACCAGGTTGTACACTGCATTGCCAATACAAAGATAGTAATGGGAAGATGAATGAATTTTGTGACGGGATTGCCACCAACAGCCTAGGGAATGGACATTATCTTCATCGTAGTTGATCCTTACTCGAAGATGGCACATTTTATAGCTCGCCTAAACGATTTGGGTGCTACGTAGGCAGCCAATCTGTCTGTCAGAGATGTTGTTCATCACGGTGTTCCTAGAACTACCACTTCTGATCAAGATACATGCTTGTGGCGAAAGATGGGGACACAACTGCAGTTTAGCAGGAAGTACCATCCTCAAATAAATAGTCAGCTAGAGGTAGTTAATAGGATTTTGGACAATCTTTTGTGCAGGATGACCGCAACAATGGGATTTATTCTTATCTCATACCGAATTCTCGTATAATAGTGGCAAAAATAGAACCACAGGGTGATCATCATTTGAAGTAGTTTATGACAGGAACCTGAAATAGGTATTGGATCTAGTGAATTTTCCTGATACAGAGCAAGTTAGTGATCATGCGAAGGCTTGGGCAGAGCACATTCGGGACATCTAGTCGGAGCTGACAGAAAAGCTTAAGAGGAACATAGCACATTACAAACAGAGTGACACAGGCACCAAAAAGAATTTAATGAGGGTGATTTAGTTATGGTCTACCTTCCGAAGGTGAGATTTCCTTGGGGACATCTATTTTTTGCTGCAACAGAAGAGAGATTTTGCAAGATATGTGGACAGACGCCGTATGTACCAGCTCGCAAAAGGACTCAGAACACCAGGTTGTACACTGCATTGCCAATACAAAGATAGTAATGGGAAGATGAATGAATTTTGTGATGGGATTGCCACCAACAGCGTAGGGAATGGACATTATCTTCGTAGTAGTTGATCCTTACTCGAAGATGGCACATTTTATAGCTCGCCTAAACGATTTGGGTGCTACGTAGGCGGCCAGTCTGTATCTCAGAGATGTTGTTCATCACGGTGTTCCTAGAACTACCACTTCTAATCAAGATACACGCTTGTGGCGAAAGATGGGGACACAACTGCAGTTTAGCAGGAAGTACCATCCTCAAATAAATGATCAGATAGAGGTAGTTAATAGGATTTTGGGCAATCTTTTGTGTTGTTTGACAGCAGGATGACCGCAACAGTGGGATTTATTCTTATCTCTTACCGAATTCACGTATAATAGTGGCAAAAATAGAACCACAGGGTGATCATCATTTGAAGTAGTTTATGACAGGAACCTGAAATAGGTATTGGATCTAGTGAATTTTCCTGATACAGAGCAAGTTAGCGATCATGCGGAGGCTTGGGCAGAGCACATGCGGGACATCTAGTTGGAGCTGACAGAAAAGCTTAAGAGGAACATAGCACATTACAAACAGAGTGACACAGGCACCGAAAAGAATTTAATGAGGGTGATTTAGTTATGGTCTACCTTCCGAAGGTGAGATTTCCTTGGGGCCAGTACCATAAGCTGAAATTTAGGCATGTTGGGCCTTGTCATGTTCTAAAGAGATTGGAAGAGAATGCATGTAAAGTGGAACTTCTGGCAGGTTATCATATTTTGGGAAAATTTAACATTGTTGTTCTATATGATTATTATGGTGAGAATGACGAAGAGATTGAAATTGATTGGTGGGATTAGTTGCCAGAGTTTGAGGCCAAAATGATTGATTCTGTGCTTGATACCATACCACGAGGTGTGGATCATATACACTATCTTGTGGACTAGAACGATAAATCTGAAGTAGAAAAACTGTGGATCTTAGAGACGGTGTTCCAAACGATAGATCCTGCAGGTTGAAGCAATGTATCAACCAAAACGCGAGGCGAGTTGTTCTTCTAATTGGGGAATTGATGCAGTCCTGCTGATGTCATTCTGATATCATGATGCAAGAGCAAATGCCTTGTATTTTGAATTTTTCCTATTAAAAATGCGAAGATGTATTTTTTTGGGGATCTTCAGGGTTTCTTTATCAGGTTATTAAGTTTTAGGGTGTTTTTAGTTTTCAGGATTTTTAGGAGCTCTTTGGAAAAGTAGTTAGAGTACCTATGTAGTTATGCATTTTATCAAGGGTAAAAATGCCAGTATGAATTTTTTTAAGTAGGATTGATATATCAGTTAGAATTACGATTTCTTAGGCTCTAAAGTAAGGTCCTTTATTATAAATAGGGGCCCATGCAGAAAATTTAGGACGAAGATTATTGTTTACAAACATTGTTTCTAGAAGTCTTACGAATTTTATAAGGCCATGGAGGCTAGGCTTGTTAGATTCTTTTAACTTGGAATCAGTATATTATTTGATATTCTTCCTTGCAAAAAGTTTCTTCATCACATCTTGTTTAACATTTATTATTATTATTTTTTTTTCAAATTATTCACAAGTTAATATTCATGGGTTAGCCTTCACAGGGGCATTTATGAAATATTTAATATTGGTTAGGGGTGGTGTGTAGCTTTTGAGAATTTTTTAGATTTATGAGTCAGTACGGGTAGTTTGGTGTTTTATTATGCTTTTGTAGAAGAGTGGTTATTTAAGACTGATTTATTATTATAGAGAGAGACTTTCTCCATTGAAGCATCTTGCGCTTCACTTTTGCTGGAAATATGGCCTTTCATGGCCTAAATTCCAGTAGTCTCTCATTCAGTGGGAGCGATTGAGAGATTGAAATCTAGGCTCCTTGCTAAATGGGGCCCAGATTCTTTTACCCCGAGTACGCATGAGGAATCGAGAGTTTACATGTTGAGAAAACAATTTCTCAAGGAGGTGTAAGGGTCACCTCCTAGTCAGGATTTTATAGGTTAGCCTCACATTTATTTGCGATTGGCTAGGGCTTGGAGAATCCAAACGAGAAAAATAGAACCCGAGTACCTGTTGAGTATTCGCCATGTATGAAATGGTCAAAACTTATGGAATATAAGTCTGTATCCTGACACAAGGCCTTTTCATGGCATG